TGCAATAATTGACCCGTTTTGTTGTCTGAGACCTTCCTTAAAGGTAAGAGCAACATGTTAGCAGAGAAGCTATGTGGTCTGGCATAGCTGTCGGTGTCTGAGGAATTCCTAATAAAAATTTCAAGAATTCAAGAGATCCTGAGTGGCACATGAAACAAAAGGGAAAGAAATTTCATCTGATGGGGATCCTAAAAGGCTGTTTAGAACCAATTAAACATTACCAGTGTCAAAAGAAGGGTCAAGAAGTACATCACTGTGTCACTTACAAAACTACCTTCCACGCCTTCTCCTTTCTCTCCTTCTTGAGAAGCCAGAATTGCTGGAGGAAGATGCTTCCTTTTCCTTCTGAGGATGCTGTTGACAGCTCTCATCTGCTAGGCGTCTTTTTCACTATTCCTCTGAGCTGAGACGCAGTGCTGTCCCCTAGATCTCTTCTCCAGGAGAAAGGAGGTAAGACTCTTCTTACTGGACGCATCAGCAGCTTTGGACACGGTTCATCGTTTCTCCTCCTTGTTGCTCCTTCTGTACCTGGCTGCTAGGGATCCAGGCTCTCCTGCCTTCCAGCAACCCGCACTGACGGCTCCTATTCATCTTTTTTGCACGTTCCTATACTTCTCCCTGCCTCTTAACGCTGCAATGACTCAGTTCTTAGTCCTTGCCTCTTCTGTAGCCACCCTCACTCCCTTGGTGATCTCATGCAGTCTCATGCCATACAGATGGCATTTAAAGCAAACAATTCCCAAATTTACACCCCCGCCCCTGATCGAACTGCTTATTCAACATTGGACCTGGAGATATAATAAGCATCTCAAACTGAACATGTCCCAAACTAAAACATTTTACATATATTGTCATGTATTCATAAACATCATAGGAGAATGATGAAATTATTCTCCTCATTTTATAAAGGACAGTGAAGCAAAGAGAGGTGAGATTATTGCCCAAGGGCATACCTCTAGTGAGTGATAGAACCAAGAGGGCACCATCATCCTTGAGTCCTCTCTCTCTCTCTGTCCTCCTCTTCTCCCTACCCCCAACCCCTGCCCCTCAGCCCTTTGTTTTCAATCTATCAGCAAAGCCTGCAGGCTCCACCTCTTCCGTCTCTGCTACCACCCCAGGCACACAAGCTCCATGCTCTCTCTCCCATGGGTCACTGCGGTAGCTCCTAACCTGACCACCCAACCTAAAGCAACCCCTGCCTCCATTCCCCACACCCACCCTCACCCGCTGCAGTGAGGACCGCAGCTTGGTACAGCCTCTTCAGACAGCCAGTTGGCAACATCCATCAAAACCTAAACGCACATACGTAGCCATCTGAGCAGCAACTCTACTTCTAAGAATTCATGCTAAATATAAACTTGTACATGTGTGAAATGATATATGTTACAGGATTATTTATTACTGTGTTGCTTCTAATAGCAAAATGCTGGCAACAACCTAAATGTCCAATAATAGGAACTCCTTAAATAAATTATCATACATAGAGGCAGAAAAATGCATTGGGTACCTTATGAGCTAAGTACTATTATAAGCCCTGCCTCAGAGGAGAAAGCTCAGGCACAGAGAGCTTAGATAATCAACCCAAGACGCAGAGCCAATAAGTAGTAAGGTAGGGATTCAGACTTCAGGTTCTTGGTCTCTTTACTATAATGCCTCCCAATACTCATTCCCATGGTGATATACTATGCAGCCATCAAAAGGAGGAGGCGTTATAAATATACTGATATGGACTGATCTCCAAGACATTCTGTTAAGTGAAAGAAGTATAGACAGTGGGTAGAGCTTAGCCTCTTGGAGTTTTCTCCTTTGTAGGGAATGCAAATACCTGTTTGTACACATCTATACAAAGTCACAGGTGAGAGAGCGGCTACTCTAGAAAGGGAAACTCGGTGGCTGTGGCACTGGTGGGAAGAGACTTCGTTTCACTGCACACTTTTGTGCCTTTTGATTTGTGTTGTGTATGCACAATCATACACACACACTGCTTATTCAAAGAACTAAATAATTACAAACAAACAGATTGCTGGGTTGAGATTTTTCCAAAAACAGAGTATAGCCAAGTCACTCTATCATATCATCTGTTGTATTTTCTTTCTATATCTACTATTAAATGGTTTATTTGTAAATGTATGTTTATCTTGTGACTTCACTAGGGTCACTATCTAAAGTTACTGGTTTTCTTTGTGGTGGGGCGGGGGGTGTGTTTATCATGCCAGGTATACAAGCTCACCAGACCCCGTTAGAGTGTCAGCTCCACGGAGGAGGGGCCGTGAGTGTGGTTCAGTGCCACAGCCCCAACATTCAGCACTCTGCCTCATGTGCAGTAAATCTGAATGAATGACAATTACGGCCAAGAGTCTAGGGCTTAGACAATGAGAGTCAAATAGTAAGACTCTGCTTTGCCTAAAATGCACAAAAGTTTTTAATGCTTTAGATCAACAGTAAGTTCCTTGGTATGAAAAATTAATATATTGGTTCAAAGAATCTACTATACTATCAACACCAATACTCAAAGTAGAGGTTCTAATAAGCAGTACTCACAATGAGAAACCCTAGGTCCCATGGGATTTCACCTGGGCTCCTGTAGGGTCAGACAATGCTGATAATGAGCAAGAAGTGGTAAGGTTATGAAAGAAAAAGAAAATGGTTCAAGCCTTATAAAACAGAAATGATTTAGAAAAGCTATATGGGCATCAACAAAGCTTCAGTCATTATTTAAATAATTTGGGCTATAAAAATTACTGTTGATTCAGAGCCAGCCCTGATAGCCTCATGGTTAAAGTTTGGTGCGCTCTGTTTTGGTGGCTTGAGTTTGGTTTCTGGGCACGGAACCACACCACTCATCTGTCAGGAGCCATGCTGTGGCGGTGGCTCACATAGAAGAACCAGAAGAACTTACAACTAGAATATAGAACTATGTACTAAGGCCTTGGGGAGGAAAAAGGAAAAAAAAAATGGAAAAAGTAAGGAAGATTGGCAACAGATGTTAGCTCAGGGCAAATCTTTCCCAGAAAAAAAAAAAAAAAAATACTGTTGATTCGATAAAGGGAAAACACCCTGTATGAGGCTGCACAATGCTAAGGAGAACATCTTCCCTAGAACAACCTGCATGAGCCCTTCAGAGATGCCCTGTCTAGTCACATCTTCAAATGCAAAGGAAGGAACTGAGTAACAGATCTGAACCACAAAACCTACAGGAAAATGATGACCTGAGAATGTTCTTCATTTTCAAACTAATTAGCAAGGCAGAGGAAGAGAACATGATTTATCAGCGCTGTCAATTTTATGTGTCAACTTGACTGGACCATGGGGTGCCCGATATTTGGTCAAATATTATTCTGGGTGCTTCTGGAAGGATGTTTCTGGATGAGATTAACATTTAAATTGGTAGCCTGAGTAAAGCAGACTGCTCTCCCTAATGTAGGTGAGCCTCATCTAATCAGTTGAAGCCCTAACTAGAACAAAAGGCAGACCCTCCCCTGAGTAAGGGAGAATTCCTCTTGCCTGACTGCCTTCAAGCTGGAACATCAGCTTCTTCCCGCCTTTGGACTTGGAAATATCAGCTCTTCTGGTCCTCAGGCCTTCGGACTTGGACTAGAACTAAATCATTGGCCCCCTTGGGTCTCAAGCTTGTTGACTCACCCTGCAGATCTTGGGACTTATCAATCTCCATCATAATGTGAATCAATTCCTTACAGTAAGTATAATATGCATATTGGTTCTGTTTGTCTGGAGAACGCCGACTAACACATGCCGCTTCCTGTGTCAGGAAACATGCTGGAGGGAAACACCGGGGGCTTGATACACCCCTCACTAGAAGCCTGAGCTGCGAATACAATGTTTTCCTCGCACCCTGTTCATGAGAATGCACAGATACATTCTCAGCTGGTGGAGAGAGAACCAAGAGTTTCAAAGCTAAAGACTTATACATATATACCCAATAAGGGATTGATATCCCAGAATATATAAAGAACTACCAAAACTCAACACAAAAACAAACAACCTCAAAGGACTGGAACAGACAATTTTCCAGAGAATACATACAAATGGCCAAGAGACACATGAAAAGATGTTCAACATCACTAACCATTAGGGAAATGCAAATCCAGACCACAATGAGATACCATCTCATATCCATTAAGATGGCTACTGTAAAGAAAAATAACAAGTGTTGGCAAGGATGTGGAGATGTTGGAATACTTGTAGACTGCTGGTAGGAAGGTAAAATGATGCAGCTGCTGTGGAAGAAGTATGGCAAGTCCTTAAGAAATTAAAAATAGAATACCAGATGATCTAGCAATTCCACTTCTGGCTATACACCCAAAAGAACTGAAAGCAAGATCTCAAAGAGATATCCGTATATCCATGTTCATAGCAGCATTAGTCACAACAGCCAAAAGGTGGAAGCAACCCAAGTGTCCACTGACAGATGAATGGACAAATAACATGTGGTCTATACATAAAGGGAGGAAATCTGGATACCTGCTACAACATGGATGAACCCTGAGAACATGTTAAGTGAAATAAGCCAGTCACAAAAAGACAAATACTATACGATTCTACTTATATGAGGTCCCTAGAGTATTCAAATCCATAGAGACAGGAAGTAGAGTGGTAGTTGCCCAGGGCTGGGCGAGGTTTGTTTAATGGATTTAGAGTTCCAGTTTTATAAGATAAAAAGAGTTCTGTAGACGAATGGCGGTGACAGCTGCATAACAATATAAACGTACTCAGTACCATGGAACTGTACACTTAAAATTGGTTAAGATGGTAAATTTTATGCTATACGTATTTTACAATTAAAAACAGGTAAAGACTTAAGAGATCTCCAAGATACACGTCAGCTTTCAAAAAAAATTTTTGCACAAAATGCATTTAATACAGGCCCATTATATAAAAACTAATGCAAATATATATTCCTAGGAAGGAGAGAAACTGTCATGAGCAGTTAGCAGTGAGATGGGAAGGGGGAGATGAAGCAGAATGGAAGTGTCACCTACCACACTGTCTGCCTCTGCACTGGTGGAACCTGCTACAGTGAGAACATATTTGTATTAGCTTCCTAGGGTGGCGCCACAAACCGGGTGGCGTATCCAACAGGACTTATTCTCTCCCAGTGCTGGAGGCTGGAAGTCCGGGATCCAGGTGTCAGCAGGGCCACACTCGCTTTGAGACCCTGGGCAGAATCGTCCCTTGCTTCTCCCCAGCTTCCGGTGGTGGCCGTCCCTCCTCGGTGTCCTTGGCTTGCAGCTGCATCACTCCAATCTCTGCCTCTGTCGTCACATGGTTCTCCCTGTGTGTCTCATCACTTGGCATTTTCCTCTTCTTATAAGGACAACAGTCACAGCGGATTAGGGCCCACCCAAATGACCACATCCTAACTTGATTACACTGCAAAGACCCTGTTTCCAAATCAGGTCACATCCACAGCCACTGGGGGGGAGGACTTCAGCATTTTTGAGGAGACACAGTTCAACCTATTGCAATATTCGTGTTTAAAAAAAACAACTGCTACAGCTAAGGTTCCTTGAACACTCCACTCACAAGCCCTCAGGAGGATAAGATCCTTCAGAGATAGAGTTGTGAGAAGAGCCTGAATTCAGGAGTCACATTGCAAAGCTCCCAGTGGCGGTCTGCCTCTTACCAACCCCACGGCCTTGGGGGAGTTCATTAACTTCTCCCTGCCTCCGCGCCCTCGTCTTTAAAACAACAGCCCCTAGCTCAGAGATATTATGAGGATTAAACAGTGACAAAGTGCTCAGCCCGCAGCAAGTGCTCCATCCACCAAGGAACTGTTGTGATTGTCGCCACACACAGGATCCCTGAGGCTCCCCAGAAAGCATTCTTGGGGACAGAGCGCTTTTATTTCTGCAGCGCCTACTCAACGCCTTTCTCCATAGTCCGTGCTGACAGTCTCATGCTTGACATTCAGAGCCCCAGCCATGGCGTTCCACATAGGCACACCCGGCACCAAACACTCCTCAGGAGCCACCTTCCCGGGGGCACTCCCATCTGCAGCGGGGCCGATGGGGGCTCTGAGCACTCCCCCTGACGGATGCGGAGAGATGCAGGGCAGTCCCCGGCCTCAGAACTCCCGCTTGAAGTGATCAGTGCCCTAAATCTGGAGTTTGATCTTGGCTTCACTTGCTGCTAAATCTGTATCCAGTTAATCTGACACAGTTGTGGGGGAGGAGCCATGTTGCTATGGCAACCCAACAACTCTGGGCAGAAGGACAGAAGAAATCGAATTTCAGAACGGAGACCACCAAAGGACTCAGAAACTCCCACTTCTGCCTGTGTTTCACAGAAATGAATCTAAAACAAACAGACCTCTCTTCTCTTTCTTACAAGTTTCCAGCCATTGACAAAATAAAAGCCTGCTTACACAAGTATTCTATTCACATGTCATTTCCTAACAGGATAGAAACTAAAACTCACACTTCGTTCAGCCAGTCAGGAAGTCAGCTGATTTCCCTTAAAGCGCTCTCTGCATGAAACGAGCAATTGTCCAGTCTGAATTTTATACATAATATTACTTTTTGACCTGCAGTTTACAAATAAACTAACAGAAGGACACAAACAGAACCTCGGCCCTCTCCTCTCCCAGTGTTTAGAGGAGCTGGAGGGGCAGAGAAAGATGAGAGAAACTGCCTGGGTAACCCACAGACCTCGTCTTCCACGGTGACTCCCCTCCACCGTCATAGAGCCCCTCACACGGCAGAGCTGACGTGAGGGCTTCATGTCTGTTGTCCTGCCTACGTTCTGGTGGAGCTTCCAAGGAATCCTAAATGATCTAAAAGGGAAATCACAGTCAAACAAACACGCAAACACAAACCAGGGGTTAACAGTGCGTACCAGACATGCAGGTGCTAAATAATCTAAAATGGACCAAAGAAAGTTCTGGTAGGCTAGGCCAGGCGAGGACCAGCCAGGCGGCAGCAAGCGCAACTGACAGGCTTCGTCTGTGAAAAAGCACTCCGGGTTCAACTTAGAACTGACATCTTAGGGCGGCAGTTGAAATTTTCTTTAAAAGAAAAAAGAGGTCAGAAGCACTCCCTGACCTGATACTCTTTACTTTCCATTCTTTTCACCTCTTTTCCCAACACAGTTTTTCGGAGCTCGAGCTCGGACAAAGTACTGGGGTAGTATTTGTTAACTCAAGGGTCTGAGAGTGAGGGGGGTAAAAAGGCGATGAATTAGTTGGGTTATGCAATTTTTCTGAATTTTTAAGGGAACAGCAGTTGCTTAGACTTACACAATAGGATTATATGGATAAACAGGTCGGAGAAGCAGGATGTGATCAGGGAAAAAGCTCTGGGGCAGGAGTCAGAGGATTCGAGTCCTTGGCTGGCCTCTACCACTTAACCAGCCACGCAGTCACAGACAAGTTATTTAAACTCCTGAAACTTGTTTTTTTTCAACTATAAAATGGGTGTAATAATACCTGCCCTGACCTCAATTATCGTGAGGATCAAATGAAGACATACACATGAAAGCCTCTATAAACGGCGTAGCATGCTCAGGGCCGGATGGCTATTTCTACTAGAACCTAGATTTACTGACGTGGGGAACGAATGTTCTGGTGTGCACATCCTTCAGCCTCCACAGGAGCCCTTTATCCAGGAGGAAAAACCAAGGCAGCTGAAAACACAAACGTGCCAACCAAACATGCATATAGGTTTCTAGGCCAATTTCCCAAAAGTTGGGATAAGGGAGAGTTGTTGGACTTGGAAAATCAAAGCAATTGGCCTTCACCGAGCCGTCAGGGCAACATCCACAAGGTAGAGCCCACCCGCAGGCAAAACAGCTCTGCTCCTCGATGGTGTCTCCATAAAGAGCTCGCTCACTGCTGTGCAAGACCTAAGAAGTTTTAGTTCATAAATTCGAGTCGGTAGCATGCCATGTCAGTGAGCTTCTTACCCTATGTTCACAGCATTAACACTAAATTAGAACTAATTACCCTCTCAATTGACAATTTAGAGGCCATTAAAATATAGATTAGCATGAAATTCTAATCTGTGGAAAGTGAAATTCCGATGGAAAGGAGACAAACTCTACCCTCTAACACGTGGTGTGTTAATGACCCCGCATCTCGTGCTAAAATGGTATGTTAACTGGCGTACAGCTACTACTTTCCTGCCATTCCGGAACCTAGGGTCAAAAGGACAAGGAGACTCAGACACACACACACCTGGCAGGAGAGCTGCTATGGGCATGACACACAGTCAGTACCAAACCTTGGTCAGGTGTGAAACAGACCTTGCTTAGCAGGCAGATGTTTTTAAGCAGAGGTCAAAGACAGATCAGATGGGAATGGGAGCATTTAGAGGTGCAATGTACGGAGGGAAGAAGTAGGGAAGAAAGTAGGGAAAGAAAGGGAGACCACAGGTCACAAGCTGAACTGGCCCAGTGAACAAAGCTACACAGGGGGATTCAGAGAATTTAATTTTTAAAATTATAATGTTCTATTCCTTAGGTACTTCCTGAGTACTTTATATTTCAAACTGGCAAACCCTTAATGATGGGGGCCCTTTCTCCAAGAAGACTTGCAAATATGAGAACACATGTTTTTTTTTTCTTTTTGGGGGGAGGAAGATTCGCCCTGAGCTAACATCTGTGCCAGTCTTCCTCTATTTTGTAGTTGGGACCCCTCCACAGCATGGCTGATGAGTAGAGCAGGTCCATACCTGGGATCTGAACCCGTGAACCTGGCTGGAAGCTGAGTGCACTGAAATTTAACCACTCCATAATGGGGTGGCCCTGAGAGCAGATTTTTAAAGAGGTGTGAAGGTCTTAACGGCCCACTGTGTAAACATCACCTGGTGATCAGAAGAATGCCAGTTTGTCAATAAACAAGCTCCACCTGGGTTCACAAACAAATCAAAATGGCTTCTCCAGGTTCTGGAAGGAAACTTGCTGTCGCCACTGCTGGACTCTGGGGCAGCTCATCTCAGAACGGCAGTTTACATCATGTTCCCTACAACCCCACGCCCAGTGCCGGGAAGACTAACGATGGTGTCTCGAGGCAGAGATGTGTCAGGAACTGCTGCGACCTGGACGTACGCTACTCCAATCCCCAGTCACCGAAATTCTGTCTCACTGGAGTCGAGTACGCAGAAATGTTTACAGATTTAACAAACACTGTCCTCGGCAGTGTCTTTGGGTTGCCTAATCTTCCAAAAGCCTTTTTTTTTTTAGTGGGGAGGGCTGGGAAAGGAGGAACAGGGAAGCCATCCACCAAAAAATGCTAAGTGTTAAAAAAGAAATGATTGGGCTTTTTGCCATAGTAGCGTAGTGTTTAGAGAAAACATGGGAAACCAAACCGGTCATAACTCATCCTAAAGAACAAAGAGACTGACTCCTGCTGTCAGCTCCAGATATGTGTTCCAAAGACTACTCTTAGCCAACAAAATCCTTACATCTGGAAAGCACCCTGAAAAGTTCTATTTTTCTGATACTTTTTAAAAAAATTACTGTATATCTTTGCTGTATCCTTCATGTTTTAGTCATTTATGGTCACTTTCCCCACACAAAAAAAGTATCTTTTCCCAGGTTACCGTTTATATTCCAAAGCGATTGTGGTGCTCATCAGTTGAACTTAGTAATGGAGAATAATCGTATAGTCGTATGAATAAAACTATTTGCTTTCTTGGCAGTTCTGTCAGGACTCAGTCTATCAAGTCATAAGTGACTCAGGAGGAAGACAGCATTTGCTTTTCAGGGCTCCACTGCAGGCATTTTACCAAACCTCGGTGAGCACATCATTTGCCCTCAGTTAAACTGGTTGTTTCTGAAATTTCCGGCTAGCATCGGAATAGACGTCAAAGCAGGTGGTCTCCGATGCGTCTCAGATGAGTAATGCCTGGGCTCCCTGGCTCCCTGAGGGTTTGTGTAACGAGAGCCGATGCAAGTGGTTCCAGAAGAGAAGCCCAGAGTCATTCAGTGATGTGTGATGTCTTTCTCCTCCCCACATTGCACACTGACATGTAAGTTACCACGTGATTGGAGAGGACACGGTGGAAATGAAGTAGGAGCGGAGGAAATCAAATGAGTTTCTCTTGATACCATCCATTAGACTGTCTCCTCACACTAAGTTCTTATAAAAACAGAAATATCCTCCTCGTTTTCTTCCTGGTTGTTAAGTTAGAGGAGAAGGGCCCTGGGCAGCCATAGTCCATTTCCTTTCAACATTTCAGAGAGAGTGGAAAGAATGAGAACATTCCAGATCAAGAGATTCTAAAGGAGGTTACGCAGTACCATCCAGGACCTCGCATGTTCTTATCCCCAACTGTGTGGAGTACATTTCTACATTGATACCCACCCTTACCTCAAACTCAGCAAGTCCAAATCCAGCTCATCCTTGTACCCGTCAAAACAGATCCGCATTTTGGTTCTTCAATTTCTGCCAATGGAATTAGCCCTCATTTTTCCAGTCAATAAAAGGCCAAGGATTAACACTTTGGAACCATCTTTTACACATCTCCTCCTTTTTCACCGATCTCCAAGCTATTTCTTAACAGGGTTGTCATCACGATAATCAGTTCTAGCAACAGACCTGTGCTCCAGTATTCACTGATATGGACTAGACTCAGCTGTGAATATAAATGCTCTCTCAACTGCTCAGGGTCTAAAACATAGAAGTGGGCTTTATGATACTAAAAACAATTTAGAAAGGACATGAGAAGCACACTGAGGTCCTGCTGAGAAGCCGGACACAGGAGAAGTAAGACGGCCCTCTGAGAAAGAAAACAGGAGGGGCACCTGGGACAAGTGCACGTACCGGCAAAGACATCTAATGGGACTACAGAGCAACAAGGTCATCAGGACCTGGACAACCATGGGTACAGAGCAAGGCGGAAGCCATGCAACACCCATCTGGGCCCGCGCGCTCCTGGGAGCTGGGAGGAGAGCAGGGAACGGCGCCAGTCTCTGCCCTCACGGGACAATGGTCTAGTGGAGGGGACGGAAAAGCAAACCCGGAACATGGCCATTTCCATCCACCCAACTCCCCCTGTTCTCATCCCACACTCACCAAGGGACCTTCAGGTAAGGATTCACCCTCATCTAGGTCTGCCTGCAGGGAGAGAAAGCGCTGCCCTCTGGCACTCACATTTCTCACCGTAGGTTCTCCATGGCTTGTTTCTACACTTGAGTCTCAAGAGATTGGACACTGCCCCTGCCCCTAAGAGACAGGTCTTCTCCAGGTGTGTTGACAAATCAGACCAAGGACTGGAGCCAGGAGCACGGTCCATCCATGGCGGCTTCTTGGCGTGTCTTCATCTGACCTTGCAGAGTTCTGAAACCACCAGAGTCACGTGGTTCCCAGTGATCCTAACTGTGCTCAACAAATTCCGCCTTTATAGAAACGACCCCAGCAGCAGTGACGCTTTTGTTTTCAAAACAACAAAATCTATTCCAGACACTATCCAATGGGCTCCAGCAGTTTCTGAATCAATTAATTCATTATTCAGCTACAAAACTAAGGCACTTCAGGTGATATTTGACCAGTTCAGCCTGGGTAAGCTATAAAAAGTGCTTCTCAGGCCTGAATGTACATACCTGGGGCTCTTGCTGAAATGCAGAATCTGATTCAGTAGTGCTGGGGTGGGGCCTGAGATTCTGATGTGTAACAAGCTCCCCGGCGATGCAGATGCTGCTGATCCACAGAGCCCACTTTGAGGAGCAAAGATCCCCACACCCAGGCTGCGTGACAGACCAGTGAGATCAGAGTCTCAGGGACTGAGACCAAGAATTAGAATGCTTAAAGTTCTGTGATGATCCCATAGGATCCATCCAAGGTTGAGACCCACTGACCTAGCTGCTTTTCCAGGGCCAGGAGCCCAGATCGTTGCCCTTTGCACCAAGGAGCAAATCAGCAAAGCTGTGCCTGCAGAGTCCTGAGCTACCTCCATGTTTTGAAGTTTCCCCATGCCAAGGCAGAATTACCTAAAATGTGGCATACGTTAAGTGTTTGCATTTATCAAGCCAATGCTTTTAAAACAAAGTCAACTCTACATCTAAGCTCACTGGAAGCTAACACGATGAGCATATGTCAGAGGCCCAGCACACTCCTACACCCCGCCTCCCTTCATAGGCCCTGAACAGCGCCTCCAACCACTGCCCGGTTATTCAAGAAAATTTTTCTCTGAGAAGAATGAGATAATGAGAATGCAAAATGAAAGAGAGACATTATAACTACTGCTTTCTCTGTTAAACATCAAAATGAATGTAACAAATAACAAACCCTAAACAATTAATTCCTAATTTAAACAAAAACATCATATTATTATAAAGAAAAATATTTTCCCCCATTAACATGCCATATCCTACTGTCACTACCACAAAACTATTCCCATTCAAGAAAATTCGTTTTTTAAATCAAAATCACAGATTTTTATACATGAAAAATCAGTGAAATACTTCCCTTCCTCCTGAGAAAAATTCTTATAGAGGAAATATTCATTATTCTATTCCTAAATTTCATATATTATGAGTAACACAAAAGAACCAATTAGTAAAAATCATTCTTAAAAGATTAATTGCTCCTCTCCAAAAACCTGTCCTCGTCTGCTTCACTGGCATATCAGAAATGAGGCTGGTTGTACGTGGACATTTCAAAGTCAGAAGACTGTCCTTTGTCCTCTTAGCAATGCATTAGAAGGCATCAGTGACTGTAAACTTTTAGGTGGTAGATTTGTTTTCTTTGGGTAGAGGAGACCAGAAAGAAAGGACCTGGCCTAGAATCAAGGAATGCTTATGTGCTTCAAAAAGGAGATGCAGGAAGCAGCCTGGTGGTGCAGTGGTTAAGTTTGCACACTCTACTTCCATGGCCCAGTGTTCACCAGTTCAGATCCCGGGCGCAGACTTATACAGTACTCATCAAGTCATGCTGTGGCAGCATCCCACCTACAAAATAGAGGAAGATTGGCACAGAAGTTTGCTCAGGGCCAGTCTTCCTCACCAAAAAAAAAAAAAAAAAAAAAGGAGAGCTGAATATAAACACAACTGCATGGTCTTCCATCCAGCATTTTCAGCATTGCTTCATGACAGCCTTCTTGGGCTCACTGTGGTGAGTGCTAGCAAGAAAAGACTAGTCTGTGATGGTGCTGCCAGAGTTCAAGAGTTGCTATTTAAAAAATTCAAACAGGAAATCTGGGAGTTAAAATGAGCCAAATCTTCGCCCAGAGGTCACACCTTCCAAACGACTCTCAGATGTCAGCTCTGTCTTTCTCCTTTGTCACCTGATCTGATAGGAAACTTCAGTTGCACATAAGGAAAAAGAAATGGAACAATCATTTTTTTTTTAGGTTCAATTTTAAAATTATACCTAAGTTTGCTCAGAAAACACCATAGTTTAGTGTGTATTCCTTAAGACTTCTTTCCTACCTGGTTTATTTCCAGTTTAAAGAAAAAGAGTTCAGACCTAAAAACAGTCAAACACACCCCGCCTTATACCCAGAGAAACTGTTTCTAACCTGGGAAGGCAGAGCTAGCACCACATAAATACGCACCGTTGGTGACCCTCTGGGTAGACCACAGCCATGTGAAGGGAGGGAGCGTCCATGGTCCAGCCACCTGGCCTTTGAGGCAGGGCTGTTAGCACTCACTTGG